AGTTTGATAGTGAGTAACTTGATGAAGTCCCAGCTTCATGGTAAATCACTTCATGAGGTTGTTGTTTCACTGTAAATTACTTCATATAGTCAAAGTTTGATGGTAAATTACTATAAAGTTGAAGTTTCACGGTAAATTAATTCATGTAGTAGAAGTTTGATGGTAAATAACTTAATGAAGTCCCAGTTTCATGGTAAATCACTTTATGAGGTCATTGTTTCATGGTAAGTAACTTCATATTGTCAAAATTTTACGGTTAATAACTTCATATAGTCAAAGTTTCATGATAAGTAACTTCATGTACTCAAAGGTTCATGGTTAATTACTTTATATAGTCAAAGTTTCGTTGTAAATTACGTGATGTAGTCAAAGTTTGATGGTAAATAACTTAATGAAGTCCCAGTTTCATGGTAAATCACTTTATGAGGTCATTGTTTCATGGTAAGTAACTTTTTATAGTCAAAGTTTCATGGTAAATTACTATAAAGTTAAAGTTTCATGGTAAATTAATTCATGTAGTAGAAGTTTGATAGTAAATAACTTAATGAAGTCCCAGTTTCATGGTTAATCACTTTATGAGGTCATTGTTTCACTGTAAATTACTTCATATAGTCAGAGTTTCATGGTTAATTACTTCATGAACTCGGCGTTCCTGGTGTCCCTCCCCACATGTCCCCCTGTCTCTCTCGTCCTTCATAATAAAGGTAAAAATATCCGAACACACAGAAGTACAAACAGAAGTAGTTTCCAGTAAAAGTACCTGATCCAGTTTTTTTTCCAGTGTTTGAATAACTTTATTAGCATTCTGCAGTCGTGTTGTTTACATCAGAGGAGCAGAAAGGGTTAAACAATGAAGGAGGTTACTGAATGAAACCAGGTGACGAAGCCGGACTTCACCCGGTTACCCTGTTGCCATGGTAACAGTCACACGGTTTCCTTCAGTAACGGGCGGTCGGTGAAGTCAACCTGACAGTGAGATGAGTTTGAAAGGGTTAAAAAAAAAACCCTTAACTGGATTATTGATGACCTTTTTTTTATCGACGAGTAACTTTGATAAATAAAAATCTGATAATGTTATTGATCCCCGATAATGTTAAAGATCCATGCTTCACTGTCACTCATGTTCAGATCTCTCTCTGAATAAAGACACCTGTGATGATAATATTACGTCTTTTGTTCAGTTTCTCCTCATCCGTGTGTGTAAGCGAAGGAAGTAAGCGCAGTGACAGTGGACCCCGGTTCGACCTCTGAAAGGTCCCCGCCCCTCAGGTTGAGCACCGCCAAGTTAAAAATGTCTCTATCTAAAGTCTACAGGAACTACATTCATAAAATATAGATTTATACTCTAAATATACTCGTAAATATACTGCAGTACAGGTACAGGAGGGGGCGGAGCCTCGTACAGGCAGAGCAGCTGTTACCGTGGCAACGTTAAACACATCAACAACCATAGTAGTCAGTGCTTGGATGGTTCTTAATGAATGAAGCTCTAATGAGTGCAGGTGGGCCCTCACACACACACACACACACACATCAGGAATGATAGAAACTATAGGAATCGCCTCGTTAGCTTGTTGCCATGGTGACAGCTTCATAACGAGGCTGGGCTCCGTCATCATCAGATTAATATAAGAATAAATATTTCTGATATATTTCTGAGCATGTGCAGGAGCTCGTCTCCATGACGACGACGTCTGTAGGATAAATATGATTGATCGTCCCTCACGTCCTCTCAGAGTTCGTCCACTTTAGTTCAAGTTTGACTCCTCGTCTCCTCCTCTCCTCGTCTCCTCCTCCTTCTTCTCAGCTCCTCGCCTCCTTCTTGCCGCTTCTGGGCTTGTTGCCGAGCAGCGTGTCCATCTCAGCGATGAGGGGCGGAGTCAGCTGAGTGAGAACCTGAGGGAGACAGACGGGAATGTTACCGACCAATCACAGGCGTCTTTCCCAACCAGGTGACCACGACTGCAGCGAAGGTTCTGGCTGATCTTACCCTGATGGAGCCGAGGTTCTCCAACAGCTGATCCGTGTTGGAGACTCCGAGGAGAACCGAGCTGACGCCCTCGCTGCGGAGACACCACGCTGAGAGAGAGACGGGTGAGACAGGTGAGACAGGTGAGACACTCAGAACCGCAAATATTAAGAGGGACAGGTGAGGAGACAGGTGAGGAGACGGGTGAGGAGACAGGTGAGGAGACAGGTGAGGAGACGGGTGAGGAGACAGGTGAGGAAACAGGTGAGGAGACGGGTGAGGAGACAGGTGAGGAGACAGGTGAGGAGATGGGTGAGGAGACAGGTGAGGAAACAGGTGAGGAGATGGGTGAGGAGACAGGTGAGGAGACGGGTGAGGAGACGGGTGAGGAGACGGGTGAGGAGACAGGTGAGGAGACGGGTGAGGAGACAGGTGAGGAGACGGGTGAGGAGACGGGTGAGGAAACAGGTGAGGTTGTACCTATAGCGAGCTGAGCTGCGGTGCACTTCAGTTTGTCGGCCAGCAGGTGGA